ATCCCTTTTCAGAATGTTTGCTTGTGTGTGTGTGTGGTGTGTGTGTGTGTGTGTGTGTGTGTGTGTGTGTGTGTGTGTGAGAGAGAGAGAGAGAGAGAGAGAGAGAGAGAGAGACTTTGCAACTCAATTGGGCTTCTCTTAGCTTCTTGATTTGCTTTTCCTTCCACATTACAAGTAGGTATTTCCATATTTTTTTAAGTGAAATAATGAAAAAAATCAGGAAAGACATCAGGGCAGAAATAGCTCCAGAAAAGAGTGAATGCCATGACTGTACAATTGATTTTTATAGCTAGATAAATTAAAATTAAGTAACTTTTAAGCATCCAAGAACTTTCTGATGAGCAGTTTTGGGTATGGAAGGGGAAAAGTTTGGGAAACAGATATAAAACTTTACTGATTTACCCATCTCAAAGCTGTGGCGAAATAATTCCAGTTTAAGTTTTAAAAAGTAGATTTTTATGACTTTAAAATCACTATACCAAATGATTACAATGAAAGCCAGTCTGGTCTAGCAGTTCAAATTCCAAACTAGGAGTGGGGAAAACTGAGTTCTATTTTAGGCATAAAAGCCAGCTAAATTGACCTTGGGCCAGGCACTCCCTCTCCACCCTAGGAAGAATCAAAATAGAACTGAAAGGGACCTTGGAGGTCTTCTAGTCCGGTCCCCTGCTCAAGCAGGAGATCCTGACCTATACGATATCAGACAAGTGACTGTCCAGTCTCTTCTTTAAAAAACCTCCAGTGATAAAGCACACACAATGTCTGAAGGCAAGCTGATCCATTGGTTAATTGTCCTCACTGTTAGGAAGTTTCTCCTCAATTCTAGGTTGCTTCTCTCTTTGATTAGTTTCCATCCATTGTTTCTTGCCCTGCCCTCTGGTGTTTTGGAAAATAAATTTCTAATAATGGTGGCTAACAAAATGCATGGACTTGTAATCAAGTCTCTGTGACATGCCAAGAAACAACACAAATCAAAAGGTTTCAACGTGAAGTTATGCCATGGGGCCAAATGGGTGCAGTGGGACTGTATGACTGTACTATGTTACAGTGCAAGTGAGGTCAAGGCCATCTGGACAAAAACCATGTGGAAAAGTGGCTCTTGAGAAATATCACAACTGAGCAACTGAATCGATGAAGACACTTCTTAAAAATGTTCTTCAGAAGACAAGAGAGGAGTCTGTCATGCTCCTCCCACATATTTCCTGCTAATGTGTAGCTTATAGGGAAGTGTTATAGTTTATACTTCCCCAACCCTCCAGGCATCCTCATTCTCCAAAATGATGGGAAGAGTGCTGGCAGAATGAACCAACGTTTATGCTTATCCTGTGAGGTTATTCACTTTCTTATATGTCTACTCTAACCCTAAGCATTTAGATTGGTTCAACCAAACTGGCTGAATCACAATTAGTGAGAAATTCAAATAAACAAATAAATAAACACATGGTAATAATCCAAAGATATCCGCAGGACACCTGGTTGAGGAAGGCGAGCTACACCGTTTGGCTTTTAACTACCATCGGTCGCCGGAGTTTAAAGTTCAACTCCGGCACGTCTTGAATCTTTGCTTACCAAGCAATGAAAGCTGCCCGGGCCAACTTTCACCCCTCCCGAACTAGTTTTTCTGGTTTCGTAACCACCTCTCTTGGTTCAGTTGGGGTGGCCCAAGGAACCGGGTCAAGAGGAGAAAAGAATCAACTGGACTTGCTCGGAGGAGAAGGGAACGTGGAAGGAAAGAGAGAGAGACACCGTGGCGAAGGGGTCGCAACTGAGAGACCCCCTTGGCGCTAAGCGGAAAGACTTGCGCGCCAGCGCCCAGCAAGGCGGAGCCCTACCTCGAGGCAGGTGAGAAAAGGCGGGAAAAGAAAAAAGAAAAGAAGAAGAAGCCGGGTCGCAGAATTGCTTCTAGCCGGGCCAGGAGCCAAGCGGAGGGACGCAAGGCAAACCACCCCACCCACCGGACTGCACACAGACACACCGCCCCGTGGCGGCTGCAGGCGCGGGCGGCGCCTCGCAACTTTTCCCCTTCGCCCTTTTCTCCCCCCCCCCCCCCGTGTCGGATGAGCAGGGTTGCCGCGCCAGAGGCTACCCCAGCCTCCCCTTCGCTGCTTCTTTTCTCTCGGCCGAGCAGCGAGCGCTCCCTTCTCGCTTTCGCCCCCTGCCAGAAGCGGCGCCGGGGCAAAGGATGGTGTTCCATACGCCGCCGCTGCTGCCACTGCCGCCGCCTCCCCGCTGCAGCCACCCCGCAGCCAAGTGAACGCGAAGACTCCGCCGACTTGGAAAGAGGCACGCTAAGCAGGCGGCTGGCTGGAAGAGGCGGCGAGGGCGGGAAGACCCCCCTCTGGCTCGGTCTGGAAGCTCGGTGGGACGAGAAAGTCTGCGGGGTAAAAAAAGAAACGGCAGCCCCCGGGGTGGGGGGAAGAGACTTCGCCTGGCCCAGGTAATCGTCTTGGGAGTTTAAGAGTTTCTGGAAAGGCAACGGGTGTCCTTCCTCCCTCTCTCTCTCTCTCTCTCTCTCTCTCTCTTTGCTCGGGTAGGGCTGCTTTTGGTGTCTCCGCCACCATTCTTGGCCGGTTGATTCGGTAAGAAAGCAGCCCAGGTTTGCTTCCCCCCCCTCTGCCCCCCAGGAAAAAAAGTCGTCGCGAAAACCTCAACTTTCTTCTCTCACCTTCCCTTCTTGCCTCGGGCGACTTTTTGAGTTTTCCTCCGCTTCTTTTTCTATACTTAAAACTTACACTGCTCCTGTGTTGTGTGTGTGTCCCTTCTGCCCCGCTGCTTGTGCATTTGAGAAAGATAATTGGAGAGTTTAGGAATGATACTTTCTTGTTTGGAAGTCTTCCTCCCCCCCTTTTTTTTTCCAGGGCTCTCCCCCCCCCCCTCGCTGACACGTCTCCGGCTTTTTCAATTAGTGGAACTGAATCTTTTTTTTCTCCCGCTGCCTTCTTCTAGATATGTTAATGGAAACAAGAAGCAGTCTATTCTGCGTAGGCTGCCTTCGTCTTCAAGTGTACTTTAGCTTTTGTTTTAGGAAAACTCTCCATATAATAAACAGGGATTCCTTCAGCATCTGTGGTTGGGGAATTATAGTTCTACTCAAGGGGTGGGGGACTGCCTTTTTAAGTTCTTATCTTCCAAATGGATTAAATGTGAATTTATGCCTCTCATTTGAAGCCATGTGGTATTTTAATGTTTAAAGAGAGAAGACACCCCTAGAATTATTGCTTCCATCCTGGGTTGAAGTGCTGGGATACTTGAAAGGCTCTATTAGAGCATTAACTCCTTTAGCTTTCTTCTCCCCAACGCAGAATATTTATTTAGAGAGTGCCTGTAATGTCATTTAATGGGGATTATGTATTCCATCCCACTGATGTATTCATATTCACACTGGCAATGTCGCAAAATGGTTGATGGACTGTTATGCAATCTATGCCGGTGATTGGATTCTCTTCTGTGTTCTGTATAGCATAGCAATAATACTGTACTAACATGGATTACAAAAACGTTTTGGTTTTAAATCGGTTTTGCATCACCATCCAAATCTTGTTTAGGAACATTGAAATGGGTCAATCGGGATTCAACTTAATTAATTAAATATTTGCATTTCACTTTTTGTAGAGTTGGTCTTCTACATTTGGTTGAATGTGAGGCTAGATGTACTGCATAGATGCTAGGTATGTTGTTACTTTCTTAAATGGACAATACTGACATTTCCAAAATAATGAGATTCCCACGAATTTTGTGGTGTGAAATTGTCACAAATTCTAGACTGACTTAAGGCCTTTCAGAGGTCCTTTATTCATCTACTTCATCATATATCCACAGGTTCCCTCAGCAAAGAGAAAAGAAAGTGTATTGGTATAATTTTGTGAAACTATCAATTAAGGGATCAAGGTAGAGAAGCTTTAATACCAATGTACCAGAACTTTGAATATTCTATCCAATGAAATGTACAAAAGATTTGAGTAAGCTAAGCAAGCCTAACCAAACATAAAGTATGTCACATGAAAAACAAACAAAAAGAAAATAAATGAATGCTAAAATCAAATGGACCATGGACTATTTTCATTGCTTGTCTTCTTTGACTCAAAAAACAAAGTGAAATGGAAATTCTTTTCATAAGACTATTATTACATATATTATCTTGCCTTGCTGGCTTCCACTCCATGTTGCATGAGTCTGTCCTTTTTTGGAATTTGCCCAAGTCCATTTCTGATTCTGAAGAAATTGCTACCTAGTGTTACAATGGATCAGAAAACCCAAACATATTGGCACCCCCTTCTCAGTGGAAGATGCCATATTAATTTTATAGATATTCACATTTGTCACTGAACTTTAAAAGCAGTAAAAATGGTAACATGTTATCACTATAAGAAGCACCCAAATATTAGAAGTATTTTGTCATTAGTAGACAGGTTATATAAAACTATGACTCTTGCATCCATTGCCCAAGCAGTAGATGTTCTGAATGGGTTTTAATTATATGATGATGGAGGGCAAACAAAGCAAAACCATTATCCTGAAAAGATAGAGAAGCTGTTTAGCTAAAAGCTAAACTAGCCAATTAGAAAACTATAGGTTGTACATAATTTGCATGTCAATAAAGAATCAGTGTTCTAACTGGGGATTAAATGGTTGGAACAAATTAAATTAATTTGGAACTAATTAAACTGTCTTGCTCCCAGGAACAATATTGGCATTGGCCTTCAAACCCTTAAACAGTTTGGGGCCAAACAATTAAGAATGCTCTTATAATCCTTTGTTTTAACAGTGGTAACTAAGACTATCTGCCTTTGATAGGAAAAATTAGGTTGGTATGCATGAGGAATAAGACCTTGCTGGACATGCATTATGGAATTACATCTTTGAAATAAATATATATGATTTATAGAGATGGACAAGAACTATCATTCCAGGAATCAAATGTTTTATTGGATCCTAAATCAGTCAAGTTGTCTTCCAAACCATATTAGTTTGGGTGCTTTTCTAGAAGTTAATCTTTTGAGCCAGAATCTATTTCTCATATTGGACCCAAGAAACCAGACTATAGGAACCAGTCTAGAAGTCATGTTTGAAGCCATTATAGACTTCCAGTTGGGAATAGTAAAACTGCCCAACCATTCCTGGTTGTGTGATCCAGTGTGATCCAAAGAACCAAATGGAACATTCAAGAGTTCTCCAGAATATTTGATTCCTGATGGTAGGTTGTACACAGTAATTTTCTACCTTGAAATGTTAAATGTTTTAATACTATAATTATACACTACTATGCATGATTAATTGTACTAGATTTGAAGGCAATATTATATGTCATTAGTTAATTTTTATTCTGATTGTTTTTATCATTTTATCATTTACCTCCCGAAGAAGTTAGAATTGTAAAACTAGATACAATTAATAAAAATATTTAGGAATTATAACAAGGAAAATAGGTCATAGTCAATTAGAAGAAACACAAATCAACTCAACAGGACAGAGATCTGGCAGAACAAAAAGACTGTTATTGATCAAAGGAATACTATTCAGAATAGGGTAGGATAGACTTTTCTAAGAACAGCATTCCAGACACCAACTTGAAGTGGGGGGGGGGGAATGAAAGACACAATTATACATTAAACAAATCTGGCTTGCTAGTAGTACATGTGAAAAGGATGTTCCAGAAGATCATAAGCTAAAAATGCCTAAACAATGTGATGGCAACTGTTAAGTAACCCAGAGCCACAGATATAGGACTTTACATTTCTCCCTGTTAAATTTCAGCTTATTAATTTCAGCCCACAGGTCATATATATATATGCATTTTAAAAAATCTCTTTCCATTCTAAAAGGTTGACCACTTCTTATAGTTTTATATATCTGCAGATCTGGTAATCCCCTCATCCAAATCATTCATAACAATGTTGCATAGCATGAAAACCAAGACAAAAATCCAAAATCCATACTGCTCATCAAGCTGATAGGAACTGTTTATGAGTTCTGTCTGGGATGGTCATTCAGTTAATTGTGAATCTGTCTATCAGATGTATGATCTAAGCTCATATAGTTTTAACATTTTCTTAATGAGGAAATAAAAAGTTTCACCTAATGCTTTTCTGAGATCACAGCACACTGCCCATAACATTCCCCTTATCTAATGTTAGTAACTCTGTCTAAAGGAAGATAAGGTTAGTTTATAACCTCTTGGGACAAACTCATGCTGGCTTGTGATTTTTTGCACTCCTATTGAAGTGTTCACAAGCATGCTTCTCAAACACCTTGCCCACTACAGGTATGAAGCTATTACAGACAGATCTGTAAATTCATAAGTCTTCCTTTCTTCTATTTAGCTTTCCTCTGATCTTCTAACACTTTACTAGTTTTCATCAAAGAATACAATACACCTTCAGTACCCTTGAGCAAGATTACTTCACAGAATTCATTGAAATTGGATTTTTTAAAGATTGTCTCCTCACCTGTCCAGTGTTACTGGACAATGATAGCAAATGCTTCATTTCCACAAAAGCTTAATAAAATTTGTTGGTCAGAAACGACTCTCTTCTCTTACAACATTGTATTTTTAGAAACAGTCATTCACTGATACCGATACAGGCAGTCCTCAACTTACAACAGTTCCTTTAGTTACAATAGCACTGAAAAAAGTGATTTATGACTTTTTCATACTCACAATCATCCTGGTGGTCATGTGATCAAAATTCAGATGTTGGCAAAACTGGTTCATATTTATGACGATTGCAGTGTCCCGGGGTCATGTGATCACCTCTTGCAATCTTCTGATGAGCAAAATCAATGGGGAAGCCAGATTCAGTTAACAACTGTGTTACTAACTTAACAACTGCAATGATTCAGTTAACAACCCTGGCAAGAAAGATCGTAAAATGGGGCAAAACTCACTTAACAACTTATTTATCAACAGAAATTTTGGGTTCAATTGTAGTTGTAAGCCATACTACATTATGTTTTTTCTCCTCGAGTATCTTTTTCCCTAAGTTTGGGAAACATTTAATTTCTGTTCATATGTGAAAATTGCTAGTTCTTCAATCTGCTTGCACTGTCATAGGGCAAAATTCTCATATTACTATAAAGCAGGAAACACACACAGCAGTTTTTAGCATTTCAAACTTTAGGTTGTGGAATTTGTGTCATAGCGGTTGTTTACACAGTTAATTTTGGCTCACCAGGTTTCTGCTCTGTCATTTGTAAAAGCAGTGTGTTTATATGTTAAAAAAAAACCTTAACGTTTACTGAGAAGAAGGTCCTGTTATATCTACAGAATCTAATCACAGGAAAGTCTGCATAGAAGCCTTAAACCCTATATTTTCCTTGCAAAATCTGAACTGTGTTGCAATTGATACTTCAGTTTTATAAGTAATTTGTTGTGTTTCAATGTAAAAATGATAAACAATTTTATCATTAAATTTGTTAAATTAAAATTCTGTACTAATA